AAAGGACCCGCTCTGGATTAAACCGGCTGCACCTTTGGGTCCAACTTGTTTTATCTAAGTTTGTTGCTCAGCAACAGAACCGCCTGTCCGGACTCAGACTGATGTTCTGCTTCACGAGCTGCAGAGCAGAACTTGTGTTTTCAGTTTGTTGGTGACTTTTCTGGATCCTGGAGCTTCTGCTGAGCTGCAGGAGTTTAAAGTCTTACAGCTGCTTCCAGTCAAACCATGACTCTGAGAGGTTTTTCTGAAAGAACAGCACCAGAACATTTTTTTAAATCAGGTGTGAGAGGGAGCCTCAGATTGTTCCTCTGATGTTACAGACCAGAAAAACAAACAGCAGAAGTCAGAAGTTCACCTAAAATAACTTGTTGTGGAAAGGAAACCAGGCAGCAGCCGGGAGCCGTCCTCCGTCCGGTCCTGTGTCCTCCGTCCGGTCCTGTGTCCTCCGTCCTGTTTTTACAGGGTGTGTTGGACCGGGACGAGCCGCTCTGTTTGTGCACGTGGCTCAGAGTAAACAAAGCTCCTGAGAAGAACACGTTTGGGTTTTAGAGGAGAAGGAAACGGCTCTGGGGTTTATTTGTTGATGTGAGCAGAAAACTGAATCAGGTTTTTCAAAGGGAGGGGGAGGCCCTGCAGGCAGAACAGGGAGTCTTCTCCAGCTTTACCAGTCCTGCTGGACCACCCTGAGGTCCACACAATGACCAACGGCACCGGAGCCGGATTCAGAAATTTAAGTTCTGTTGTTGTACCTGACGGAGCCAGCCCCCTGCTGCAGGAACACGTCTGTCATAACTTTATGTTTCAGACGGATCAACAAACTCCAACAGAGAAACTTTTCTTTGTTTCAGTCAAAATCGACAACTACACAAACATGGGACAGGTTCTGAACAAGGACCTCAAAGGTTCTGGTTCATATCCTGTGACTCATTATCACTGGAGTGAGGCTGAGCCCGAGACTCACAGTCCTAATATTTGGTATCAATTCGATACCAAGTAAACACAAAACCTGTGTCATTAATATCGATCCGATACCAAGTAACCACAGAAGACAGAACCAATATAACCAGTGTTGATCCAATACCAAGTACAGTAAACACAGAACCAGTACTGCATGATGGATATCAATTTGATACCAAGTAAACACAGAACTAGTATCATGAATATTGATCCGATACCAAGTAACTACAGAACCAATAAAACCAATGTTGATCTGATACCAAGTAATCACAAATGGATCCATCCATCCATGCATCTATCCATCCATCCATCCATCCATCCATCCATCCATCCATCCATCCATCCATC